ATTCCCAGATTTCCACTCTATATGCTGTGGGATTTGGTTTTGACTTCATACACTATAAACAGTCTGCCTGTTTGCTGTTCAACAAATAAACTCCTAAAGGCATGGCTAGGAAAAGCCAAGTTTTTTGCCTACGTTTTAACTCGCAAACAAAGCAAAAACCAGCGACAAAAATACAGAACCACGTTTTTCTATTACATTGAAGACCACATGCAAAAATTCAGCTAATTTGGAGCAAGAAAAAAGAAAAGCAACCAAAATCATCACTTATCCCCTTTTATGACTAGCTTCTTCAATTTTGTATTTTGCTTTGTTCTGATGTATGGTAATACTGTGAAAACACCAAATTGTACCAAGGTTAACAGTGAACTAAAACAAATACATGGATTATGAATATATATTTCAAAGTAATTTCTATTTACAAGGCTAAAAAAGGTTAGAATATATATTTATTTTATCGGTAGTTCGGGAGAATGAGAAATGCTGTGGGAATACAAGCTGACAGGCAAGTGTTTCCACAGGTTTTTCAAGTTCTCCTAAACTTTCACGAGTGTTTCTATTAATCAATCAGATTATGAGCTCGAGATTTCTATCACGTAATAGTTGACAAGGGTGCAACCCGAGTCAACTATCATGCATAGAAATCAAGAGAATAGAAATACAGCATGGGGAACATGTTTTCTATTTCTTTTAGAAAATTCCAGTGAAAAAAAGAAAATGACTTCTTTACTTTGATCATCAAAATGTAAATTCACTTTGCTCGTGCATCATCATGTCAACGGCTCATGCTAGTTCTGTGTTTCTATTGAGTTGTAGTACAAATCTACTAACATTCTATCACGAATTCTGTTCTCTGATTGGCTACGCCACTGGCATCTATTCTGTTATAGATATTGTGTAGCGTGGCAGTGTGCCCTTGTTAACAAAATGATGGCTGTTTCTTGGCGTTTTCAAAGTGTCTGTGAAGAGGATTTAGAGAAAGTTTTTAATGACTAGTAGATTTATACTAAAACAATTAGATTCACTCTCGATTTCTACACAGGATAGGTGACGAGGGCGCAGCCCGAGTCAACTATCGCACAATAGAATAATCTTGAGCTCGTAATCTAATTGCCTAATAGAATCACAATTTTAAACCAGTGAATGCACATATTTTATTTTGGCTAATTTCTAATTCATTATATGTATATTTGACAGCCGTGGGACAGCTCCTTTAGCATGTCTGAATGCTATGCTTCACACCAACTCTCGTGGTCCCAATGATCTCTTTATCAAGGTGGAGGGGCGAATGAGCTGCTACAAACTCAATGTAAGTAAACTTATTCATTTTTTTAGTTGATTTTTAGCTATTTGGCCAAGGCAATAGTGGAATGGAAATTTGATATTGCTCATTCAATTTATGCAATTTGTGAGTTAAAGTAAATAAAAATTTAATAAATTAAAATACCCTCGGCAGTGTTTATAGCACAAAGACTAGTGGGGCCAAGCAAACAACTGAAAGAAATAATTCAAATCGAACATAACATTGTTACAGTCAAACCAAGTGAAGCGTACCACTCAAGATTACATTAATGAATTGATTATTTGAATATTGAACCTGCTAGTCGTTTCAAGAATGCAATTATTATAATGAATTGATTATTGGAAAATTGAACCCTCTGGTCATTCCAAGAATACAGCTAATGGATTTAATGTTCAAAAAAATCAATTTAATATTGATTTTTGAAATGACTAGCGAGTTCAATATTCAAATAAGCAATTCATTATTGCATTCTTGAAACAATTAGCGGGTTCAAAATTCAAATAATCAATTCATTAAATATGTAATCTTGAGGGGTACGCTTCACTTGGTTTGACTGTAAGAATCCCAACTGGCTGGAGGCAGACCAGTTAGCTATTTACAAGTGCAGCGGAGGATTTGAACTTGGGTCTACCTTAAATCAAATCCAGGAGGTGGTCAGAGTGGAACTCGAACCTGGGACCGCTGGATTGCAAGTCTGACGTGCTGACCACTTAGCCATGCCAAATTATCCTTTAAATGCATCCCTGGCCTTGTAATTTGAATGAACCCTTTATCTGTCATCTGCTTGTAATTTTTAGTGTTTGTTGATTCACATTTAAGTAATTCCTCTGTACTACATATAATATCCTGCACTGTCCGTGTCATTCTCTATTATTTTGTAGCCCAACAGAGTTGAAACCTTGGAAGAAAATTCTGGTATGGAATGTTTTTGCATTTGATCTATTCTGCTGAAAAATAATATTTTTGATTGTGGCTGTTGTTTAGTTATAAATTAAGTGTGGCAGATGTTTATTCACATTTTCTTAAATGTCTTACTGTAGTGCAAGATTCTGACTCCGACCTCATGGACATGGCTGACGACTCAGAATTTAACATGTTCCTCGACAAGGACAGCATAAATGGCCCACATCTCCACAATGGCAAAGTGAAGGTGCCCTTGGGAACGAACGATATCATGAAGCCGCAGCTAAAACCACCCCCGCCCAATCCGCCATCTGATCTTAAGCCAAAAGTACCGCTCACCAAAGATGGAAGGCTGCAGAAGAAGCGTGGTCCCAAGCCAGGACCACGTAATCAGACAGCAAATAAAAGGCCACGTTTAACGAGTACACGACCTGTTCCAAAGATGGTGTTAAAAAATCTCAAAGTGGGTACTGTTGAGAGCGGCACAGGTGCAAGTGGAAAGAATGGCAATGGGAAAGTAAGTTTTGCGATGTTTGACTGTCCAGTTTACACTGATAGTGATACAGTTAAAACCTGCGAGTAAGAACCTGCTTTTTTGAAGTCTGGCAAAATAGGTTCTTTTATTTTTGGTGTGGTTATTGGCAATTTAGGCTGAGTAAGTTCTTAATTAGGTTCTTAATTTATATGAAAGAGATACAGTTGTTGATTACCAGAAAAATAAATAAGTTTGGGTTGGCCTTGTACATGCAGTGTATTTATTCACAACTGTAAATATGATGCTTTTTCGTGTAATATAAATTTGCAAACTTTAAGTCGTGCTCCGTTCAAATGTTTATCATAATTCTGCCCAAATATAAGAATCTGCTTGTTCTTGTTTGCCTAAACAGGTTCTTATATTTTTTTATATTAAAATATGGCAAATTTCTCCCAGCAGGTTCTTAAACCACTTAATGGTTTTTACACATGGTTGTTTACTGCAAAACCTTGACAGTGCATTTCAGTTTATGATGTAGATACATAGATGGATGGCAAAAGTTTTTTTTTTTCGAAGTTTGTGGTTTGCAATCTGTCTCAGTTTTTCTTGATCATTAATTAGCATACTTTGTTGCCTGGGTTGCCTCGGGTCAGGAACAGTGTAGCCAGGGAAAAAAATCTTCAAGGTCAAGGAAAAGCCAAGGAATTTTATTTTGAACAAGGGAAAATTGATGTTTTGAGGAAAAGTCAGGGAAAATTGAAAGAATTTAATACAGGTGATTTAATACTATTAACTGAAGGCTAGAAAAAACATTTGGGGCCACTTTGATCTCAACGATGTTTTTCCTTGATGGAGAAGGAAAGATAAAAATATATAACATTAGTATGTTTGTTAGCCTATATTTAAGCTTAACTATACAAAAAGTATGATGGCCTTTGTCAATTTGCAATAAAAGCCTGAAGGGATTATACATGTAACTGCAGTATGTGTACATTTATCACCATTACTCTGAAGTGGTCTTGTGTTTTCTTAAAGAAGGATATATATAATTTACTTTTGAGAACTTGCTCGTTTCAATGTCCAAGAATTTAGCAGCCCATTGATTCAGAATGAAAATTTGTTTATGTCCTGGTCACTTTTTTCCTGACCCTGTCATCCCCATAAATAATGAACCATCCCTAATGGGCAAGAAATGATGTAATGCAAATATTGCTACATTACATATAAATCATGAAGTAAATTAGTCGTTCGAACTTTAAAAGTAAGATTTATTAGTCTATGCCTGAGATTTATCAGTTGGTATATTGTGAACCTGACTGCAGCATTTGTCCTTATCAGTAAATTTATGAAAGATATCTCTACTTTCTGTTCCAGGTAAAAGCTCCGTGTGCCCTTGTTCCACCCTCATCCAAACTAATACCTCCGTCAAGTGCATCCGTGACTGCCAATGCCATAGCAAGCCACAGCTTTCCAAGGCCTCCAGGCTCTGCCAATGGTGTGGATGGTAAAGAAAAACTAGAGAAATTTTCTGATCTTTGGACAACTTCAAAGGTGGGTTACCTGTAAAGATTTCTGGTTTTGTCAATTGTTTATCTTTTGAATCTAGAGAGAGATCACAAATGTCTTATTTACTGTTCTGTACATAACAACAGGGGGCTAAGGCAATTGACAATGGCAATGCTGAGGACAATGCCTCTTGAAAAAGAAATTTTTATTTTTTACCTTCAAATTTGGCAATTACCAGAACTGTGAACTCTGTATTACTGTATAACTGTCAGTCTAAAAACTTGCTTAAGCTTGATATGTAATGATGGCATTCAATCCCAAAAGGAAATACAAAACATTAGTTGTTGTTGTTCCTGTTCCTCACAAGATGCAGAACATGGATATTTCACTTTGCTGTTCACAGAGGACAGCAAAGAAACAGAGAACAATTTCTACTGTATGTTCATAGCCACTGTTCTGCTCATTAAACAATTTTCCTCATGGTTTAGTAAGCTCCCTGATACAGTACTTTGGGAAGCAGGCAAATAGGTTTGGTTGTTGTGCTGTTTAATTTGCTAAGCCTGGCCATTAATAAAACCCCTGATGCTCACAGAATAATCATAACGTTAAATGTTTAGTTAAAGTAATACATGTTCCTGTGTTTTAATTGTTGGCCTCATTTAATTCTAGCCAAGACGATACAAGAAAATGAGTGTTGGTAAGATTTTTAAGATTTGTTTGATAAATGATTATACATGTATTTCAATCAACACAAAGGTGTAATTATTAATAGTGCTGCCTGCACACCCACGATATTGTAAAGACAATTCTTGTAGTAGCAAGAGTTATGGTACAAGGACCTGCATAAATTATGCTGGCATGAAACAGGCATTTGAACAAGTGATTTGCTTGTGAAACTCTTGCCTTTTCTTCATACAAAGATCTCCAGGAGACTAGACAGAACTTCACTGCAAATTTCTGGGCACTTTCTCACATTTGTTCTTGTTTTAAATGTAGTTCGTGCTAATTTAAACAGTACGATATTGCAACCTTGCATTTTTGTCCATATTTTCAGCTGCCCAGCTGAAGAGAACCAAAGAAGGACGAGTAGATATCCAGTCCCCAGACTCCATTCTCATTAACATCCCCCTTCGTGTGAGTATCACAAAATGTATCGACTAGCATTTGCCACAGCCTAGCTCAACAATGCCTAAAGCAAAAACTTAAGTCAGATTGGAAGGATGTCCAGTCTACAAGTGAATACATGAAATATCATATATTTGAACTGTGGAGAAAGATATGAAGACTTGATTGATCATTGCAGTTATGCACGACACAGTTGTGAAATTAAGCCGGAATTTTTTTCAAGCATAATTTCACAACTGTTTAAGTTGTTCATAGCTGCAATGATCAATCATGTCTTGATGTCCAGTCTATTAGGTTGGTACCCATTGATCAGTGAGAATTGATGACAATGCAGGCACAGATCGAGGACAAATAGTGGCCAATTTCTGTAACAAGGAGCTCTAAATGAGCCAAGCCATGCTCCCTCAGGAAATGATTTGGATTTTGACTCCCTAAAATTCCCTCTTCCTTGGTTTCTGAGTCATTCAGAAAAATCCAACCAATTTCTGTAAAATGCTTGAAAATGGTATGGAGTGTTGCGTGCAATGCATATTAGATGCATATTACTTGCAAGAACTTATAAACATTGCTGCAACCATCAATCCACAAGGTGGTACTCATACAGTCTTCAGCCCTTATCATCCTGATCTACATGTAGCAACACCCTGTGCAAATGTGAGAGAAAAATCTATCTTTCCTTTCTGGCTTGCTTTTTAGTGTGGATTTTAGATGGCTATCAGTTATTTAGAAACTGGCACAATTTGTTTCCTACAACTCATTTTGGTCATTATATTTTGTTTAGTCACTTATAAACCAGCGCACATTCAATATGCTTCCACCATGGTATCAGTACCAGTTGGTGATGCTGCTACCTAAAGTTGACAAATCAATAGGACCTGACGGAGCACTGAGGTGTGTGTTTTACAACATAATGAGGAAGAATTGTTAATACATAATGCTTTCTTTTTGAGGGAGCAGCAACAACTGAACATTGCATATAACAGGCTGTAGCTTGTAGTTGTCATTACATGTTAACTAGTACACAAAGAATTTCATGCATTGCTTGGTGATTCCATCGGAAAAGTTCTGTGGAGTATTATCAAATTGTCAAACTGTGTGCGCTTGATAATCATGCTATGTATAATGCGAAAATGCCATAAAAGATGAGGGTCACTTTCTTGTTTTTTTTGGGTTTTTTTTTTTGCACAAGTTGGTTGGCCCTTTTATTAACTATTCAACCTGCAAAAATTTACTAAGAACTCAAGTAGTCTGAAAGGGGAAAGTGTATAATTTCTGAAAAAAAAAAATCATTTATTACTTACCATATTTGTGCNATAATGCTTTCTTTTTGAGGGAGCAGCAACAACTGAACATTGCATTTAACAGCCTGTAGCTTGTAGTTGTCATTACATGTTAACTAGTACACAAAGAATTTCATGCATTGCTTAGTGACTCCATCAGAAAAGTTCTAAGGAGTATTGTCAAATTGTCAAACTGTGTGCACTTGGTAATCATGCTATGTATAATGCAAAAATGCGATAAAAGATGGAGGTCACTTTCTTGTTTTGTTTTTTTGCACAATTTTGTTGGCCCTTTTATTAACTATTCAACCTGCAAAAATTTACTAAGAACTCAAGTAGTCTGAAAGGGGAAAGTGTATAATTTCTGAAAAAAAAAAATCATTTATTACTTACCATATTTGTGCCATTCAACAAAATAGTCTTTGGTCTTGCATTATGAATTAGATTATGAAACAAATGAAAGAATTTGCTGCAAGCGCCCATACACGCAATTTCCTAGCGATGCTAATTGAGATGAGAAATTATGTGCGACAAGGATGCACTATATCAGTGGAATCTGCCATTGACCTTACTGTAGTCCAGTGAAAATATACAGTACAGTGGAACCCTGTTAATCAGGTCAGCAACGGGCCACAAAGATCTGGCCATATTAGCGGGGTGGCTACTAAACGGGTTCTTTAAATAAGAAAATTCATGATTGACTGAGCTTATGTTCAGCCAGAATAAAGTAGTGGCAATAACAAGGTGGGTGTATTAACAGGGTGATTGTAAGGCAGGGTTCTGCATTATAACATTTAAACAAAAATGCACTTGTGGTGATGATCTGGCAAGAACTCTACATGTATATCCTACACGCGTAAAATAGACTAGCATGATTGTTGGTGATAATAAGAGGTTTTCTTGACCATGTTCCTGTGATGTTTAGTAAATATCATTTCATTAATGTTCTTTTTCAGACCATCACACACTGCATTTACTAATGAGTTCTTTGCTAGCGCATGCCATTCATGGAAGGACCGGCTTCAGGATGGTGAGGCTCATACAACATATCTCTTATTGATATAACAAGAGAATAATGACTTAGCATGTTTACACATTTTGTTCATTCAGCCAATGTGATTAGTGACTAGGTAAAGTCTGCATATGAGCCAAGTGGCCCATCAGGCCAGAGCTTATCCCAGATTCTGTAGCATGAAATGACTAGGAGCATTTCTATTCCCCCCTGGATGGGATGCTAGTCCATCGCAGGGTTAAACCCAGCATTAAATTTGCCGGTATCCAGTTATACACCTGGGTTGAGAGAGGCAGTGTGAGAGTCAAGTGTCTTGCCCAAGAACACAACGCAATGTGCTCGGCCAAAGCTCGAACCCGGACAAGTTGATCCGGAGAGACAAGTGCACTAACCATGAGGCCACTGCACCTCCCTTGATTAGTGACTAGGGAGCAGGGTTAATGCAGTGTTGAGAGCATGAATTCACCTCCCACCAATGTGGCCCAGGTTAGATTCTAAACAGGGCTCAAAGTTTGTTTTTGGCTTTGGGAGCACTTGTGTTACCAGGTGTAAATTTTCATGCACACTCCCAAAATTTTAGTTTGGAGAATCCACTTGAAACTTATGAAAGGGAAGTGATGTAACTTTATTATTTAGAGCCTGGTTGTGTTACATCTACATTTTACATTTATTCTTTGAAGCTTCTGTTTCCTGTCTTACTGGTCAGGGTATGTAAGTATGGTCCAGCAAGGAAGCAGTCACACTGTTCTTTGGCTTTTAAGGTGTGCTGGTGCGATCACACATGATGTTTTTAGGCACAAAACCAAAAATCTTGTTGCATATGCGACCAGTTGGTCGTTAACTTTGAGCCCTGTGACAGTACACCAGTGCCATGTTTGGGTTGAGTTTGAGTTGAGTTTGGTGTTGGTTCTTGCCTTACTTGGCCTCCAAGAGATTTATTGCGGGTACTCCAGTTTTCCTGAGCACTCCTACCAAAAACCAACTTTTCCAGATTCCAATTCGACCTGGATAGAGGAACGGCAAGAAAACCACCCAGGACTGGTGTGGCTTCCTCTTTAAGCACTGTAATTTATGTTTCATTTGGCATTTCCCTCTGCTTGCAGGTGATTTTATGACTGACATGCAGCAAAGAATGAAACAGGAGGAAGAGAGGCTGGCTAAGTTAGATCCCTGGAAGGTAATTTTTCCATTTCCTTTGCTGCCTTCAAATTTATCATTATCATTATCATTATCACTATCACTATCACTATCACTATCACTATCACTATCACTATCACTATCACTGTCACTATCACTATCATTACCATTATCATTATCATTATCATTACCTTTATTCTTCTTATTCTTCTTATTATTATTTATCTGTTTCTTTTCATCTAATAATATTCTTCATCTCAAGGTCTGCATGGTTGTTTTCTTTATCTTCTTACAATCTCTACAACTGCACTATTTACTTTTTTTTTTTTCGTTCATTTGTTTAGATCAACTAGAGTGTTGAACTTTCCTTTCATGTCCTGTGTTAAAACTTATTTCAATTGGATTGTTTGGCTTTTTGTGGCCCTGGATGAAACTGTATTGTGAGACCATTCAAACGAAAGCTGTTTAGCCGTTCTTTCATGTAGTAATGTTTGGCATGTTGTGCAAGGTGCTTACTTCTAAGTCGGCAAGTGTGACCATTCAAGTGAAAGCCATTGAGCTTGTTTGTCATGCTGTACAAGATGATTCTTTATTATATCTCTCAGTTAGTACGCGCGCTGTGATTGGTCAATTTAGCGGGCCATAATCGACTGTACGGCCCGCTGAAATTTAAAGCTGTTTTTGTTGCCAAAATGTTTCGTGATGAATCGCCAAGTGTTCTTAACATTTTTAGCAGGTAAAAGCTTAAAACTCTCTTTTACTTCTGAAATTGAGTATTAAAACCTACTAACGATTTAGATTTCGAGGTTCGTCTGAAATTTGAAGCCGTTCTGTGTGAATAGAAATCGTTCCCGAACCCGTCAGACACCCGTATCTTACTAACCTCGTTTTCTCGGTCCGTACTGTAAGTTACGGATCCTGGTTTTTTTTCACCTTCGATTTATGCCCCGCGCGCCTCGCGCTTGGGCCATAAATTGATGGGGAAAAACATCGGTTCGTAACTTACAGTACGGCCCTCGAACTCGGTTAGTAAGAGGTATATCTTCAATGTCCGTGGATGAAACCCCGGTATACGACCATGTAAATAAATGCTGATGTTAACTGGCTGCCTGGCTCCGCTAGCCCCTATGGTTATTCCAGGCAGCTAGTACCCTAATTTTCACTTTAATATTTTCATTGAACATTGTAATTTTTTTTAGCAAGAGTACGTACATACAAAGGTTGATTGATTGATAATGAAAGCTGTCGAGAATCTCCTGCACTGGTGTTTCTTCCGTAGCAGCCAAAATGAAATGAAAATGATAGATACCTTTTTTACTCTTTGAATCTTTGTACTCTTGAGAATGGAAGGGCTAACGACTACTTTTGGCGCCTTGATTTTCAGCTTGAAGCCCTGTTTAGTTAGCTTTTCTTTCTTTTCACCTTACTGTTTCTTTTGCAGGCTAAGTTCTTTGAACCTGTCTGGGGCAAAAAGTAAGTTCTTTTCATTTTGCTTTGCGAGCAAGAGAAAGAGTATTGGTTTTGCTTAGTAAACAGCAAGTTTGCTTTACAGAATTTGATATTATGACTCAATTTTGAATTTCTCTTTTACAGGAACCTTTCCGAAGACGATTCTTCGCCCCAAGACCTAGCTCGTTCCTATTTCACCGCGCCACTTGCCCCGGCCCCAGCCTCTTCACCCAGAAGTACGATTACCGCTGGTCATAAGGATCCCAGTTACGGCAGGTCACAGTTCTCCCCAGCTAAATCACACAGGATCACAAGCGCCATGATACAGCCGCTGACTGTACCTGTGCAAAAACTGCCATCGCACTGCCTTCCCAAACGGGTGACGGAGTCCAGAAGATCGGAGGCGGCGAAGCAGCTCCGAGCAAACGCCCGACCGCCTCGGCAGCGGTCCATACCCATTTTCAGGATGGTCACGGTAGCTGTTGCTACGGAGGCTTTGAAAGCCGTAACAACTAGTGCGCCGCCAAATATGCTTACTGCTAGCACGGCATACGCCAAAAAACGGACAATCAAGACGCCATGCAGCGAGGCTGGTTCTAATAGTTCCTTATCCATGGATTCATCAGCGACTTCTATTTCTAGCGCGTCTATACTCTCTAACGATGGAGTAGAGCTGCGTTCGCCGTCCTCGCTTATAAAACCGAGACCGCCGTCGCGCGCTGCTATGCGTCAGCAAGCGGCGGCTAACAGAGAGAACTTAACACGTCGGGGCGCTGTTTCGGGCAGCGCCTCGAAAAGTGGTTCCACGTCCACCGTGGTTTCCGCCAAGAACTTCAACAGGTCGATGTTGCTAAAAAGTTGTTCATGCCGGTTAAAGGCGATGGAGATTTGCAGAAAATGCGGTGCGTTCTGCCACGACGACTGTATAAACACAGCCCAGCTTTGCAACGCTTGTGTAAGCGTGAACTAAGTGCGCGTCTTCGACGATCACAAAGAAGTCACTTTATTCCCGTCCTTAAATTTATTGTCATTTGGTTTCCTCAACTCAAACAAGGTGATGCAGCATTGCAGTAACAAGTGTTTTTTTTAATTCCAGGTTCCAATATTCTCAAACCGCCGTGTTTGGTCTTTGTTTGTAAGATATAGCCCTGTCTTTTTTTCGAAGTATGAAAGGTCTACCAAGTTTAACTCGACGATGTTTCATGTAACTAGCTGTATACTGGAGAACGTTTTTTTTAATTTTACAATCGTTGATAGTCTAAAGAAGAGACAGAACAATTTATTTGAATTATGTAAGATAACATATGAATGCAAAATATTGTAAATAGTAACCCAAATGACCAGGAAAGTTGGATTTGAAGCAAAAAACTAAAAATTTATTATCAATGAAATCTGTTGTCCTGGTGTGTTTTTAATAAATAAAACGTGAGGCGGCTCGTGGTTTGAACTCAACAATATATATTGCAAGGGAAAAGTAGTGTAAGAAGAAATGTTTTGGGGATCTATGCTTCCGCACAAGGTTGAGTTTAGGTCCGTAATTTAGAAATAGGCCCTTTGCAGGATCCGGTCACACGGTACGGAATTAATTACGCTGGGACGCAAGTTACGCAGTGGGACTTTCAAAACAAAGGAAAGTCGGGCTGGACTGGTACGAGTTCCTTTGTTTTGGAAGTCCCACTGCGTAACTTGCGTCCCAGCATAATTAATTCCGTACCATGTGACCAGATCCTGCAAAGGGTCTGTTGTCTTAAAAAGTCTCGTGCCATTGTTAAAAGCAACACTGTCGAGAAGTTGGCCATATTATATTGCCATTCGAAACGCTACGTAGCTTGCGACACAGACGTCCCGTATACGCTGTATGCTTGGCGCTACACAGTTTTAAATAGCTATCAACTCTGTTAATCTGGAGTGGCATGCCGGTGCATTGTCCGTTACACTCTCTCCGTCCCGCCCCCCTCCTCTCTTTNCCCCCCCTCCCCCCCAAACTCCGGTCTCCAGGGAGGGTTTCTGATCCATCGTCCGTCTGGTCGAAGTAAGAGTAACCTGCGAACAGACGTTCTTTTTTCCGGTCGAAGATGAAAAGGAACGCCTGATCGCAGGTCAGCACAGAAGGAGTAAACGGGGGAGACGGGAAGGCATAGCGGGCATTGGTGGACGGGAGATTCAATCCCCTTCTTTCTCGCTTTTCGCCTCCCCTGTCCCTTCCCCATTTGGGCCGGCAACAGCAGCTGGTTTTGAGAAAAATCGTCGAGAAGAAGGCCCTGGGGAAGAGGTTGGGATAGACCCCCGAAGGCGTGCGTGACTAAGCTTTTAGAGAGATGTTGGATTTTCATGGAAGCCGGTGCGAGGAAAATTTTACTTTGTGACCACCAGGGGTTGGACGATCTCTCTATTTTTGGCTTTACATGGAAACCTTGACAAATCTAGAAATTCAGTTTTTACTGGAAACAAAATAGATCAAAATTTATTTAGTTTTCATTTGATCCCATTCTTGTAGCAGTGAAATTACAATTTATTAGAACATTCAAAAAGTTAATAAATATGATTTGTATCTTTATAAATGATTCCACGTATGCATCGTAATAAATTACTGTACAGTAATAGCAGAAAGTAATAAATAATTCTGTAAAATGATAAATAAAATTATTTTCGTTTGATCGGCATACAACCTGTAGCTTCAAGCTGCCAGCATACTTTTCTCGCCCGTAGTTAAACACTAATAAGAAGGGAATAGATTAAAGTTTATAAGAACCTTTAAAACAGTAAAAAAAAAAAAAAAAAAAATTAAGTCTGTATTTGAAGGTAACCCAGGAGATAAAATGTTAATTTTTCATCCTCCTGATCAAAGGAAATAAATTTAGTTCTAATCACAAAATTGCTATAGGTAGCCTTCAACATGCTGCTAAACCATTCTGAAGTTTCAATCTTCTTTTCATTGTAAAGGGAAGAGGTAGATCGTCAAAGCCACATACTCCAGAAGATTTTCTTGTTTTTTCTCTTACAATCGAAAGACACACGGACTGGAGACTCGACATCTCCGGATGAAGAGCACCTACTAAAAATTCCCGGATTTCTCTTGAGTTACACCTGTCAATGGCAGTTAAACCGCAGTTATCCGATTGGCTAATCCTCGCACCAAGTGACACCGTTGCCCTGACAACGTGTTCAAACTGGCCAATCACGGCCAAGTGTAGAGGAGTATACCCACAGTAAGTCTCTTGAACGTTTAAGTCCGCCCCGCAGAGAAAAAGCGCGGTTGCACTAGCTTCGTTACCACTTTGCGCCGCCACGTGCAAGGGCGTGTATCCCGCGTGATTCCGCGCGTGCACATTTGCGTTATAACGAGACAGTAGCTCTATGAACGCGTAATCGTTAAGCGTTGCGGCGAAATGAAGCGGTGTTTCACCAAAGAACACGCCGTTGCTGTAATTAACATTCGCTCCAAACTCGCACAGGAGGTGTACGGTGTCCAGCATGTTTTCTGATGGCGAAGCAGTCAGAGCCAGAAGAAGAGGGGTGTAATCCAAAGAATCAACGCAGTTGACGTCTGCACCGCGTAGCAACAAGTTCTGAATGTGTGTTGGTGGTGCGCTTGAGCGCAAAGCGTTCCTCAGCTGGCTGTTCAATAATTCTTGATCAGTGGAATGTGCAACGTCGTACTTGAATCTTTTAAAAATACTCTGAGATCCTGCAAACGGGGATAAAAATTTCAATCAGTATAACTGCAACAATTTCAATTATATTTAGTTCCTAATGCCAATAAATAGCCGCGCGAGCGAAGTTCACGATCACGTGACACTAACACGCACATTTGACTTCAGCCTTTTTTTTTTGCATTTTCGCGCGCGCGAAGATGGCGCAATTTCGGGACGAAATTGAAAAATATTTTTAACCTTTCCGTTAGCCTTTTTCTGCGTCCTATATCTCTCTTGTAATTGAATACCGTTTCCGCCTGTTTTAGGGTTTTTCCCCTGAGAACAGTACTAATGTAAGTTTCCATGGACAGTGGAAAAAACTGAGTGTGACTAAAAGAAACTGAGTCAAATCACTTCAAAAGACGCACTGAGATCATACATACAGAAAAGGTGATCACTTATCCGGCAGTTTTTCAGCATCTCTGGAGAAATAATTTCTAGTTTAATTATAGTTAACTGATCTAGAGAAATTGTACTAAAACACTTACCCTGTCCTTTAGTCAGTCTTCTAGTCCGCGGCATCTTCAGATCAGTGCAAGGCTCACTGTACGTCACTTGGTGTTTCTTTCGCCGTTACTTTCTGTTGCTTGCTTGTAATCTGCACAGTTAATGAAGATACAGACTAAAACCTGGGCAAGAGAAAATGTTCTCATGTTCCTGGGGCTATCTGTCACTGCTTCTCACAATTCAAAACAACCGAGGGAAAAACTGTGGAAACCAGTTCGTAAAAATGACGCGAAACTAATCAGGTAATTGAACACGTCAACAGCTCGTGCACCTTGCTTTTCTAATTTTCTTGACCTTTCTTTGCACTGAATAGAGCTTGAATGCAACAAAAAAGTTTTTATTTCTTCTTTCTTGTTTCAATGACATTTACCTGTAAAGCTCTTTTGGATGCTTTAGCTTAAATTACTGGGAACAGATTCACGAAGGCCTTTTAGATTAAGATGTCTCGTAAGTATTGTTCGAATACAGAAGGTGACTGTGAAGTAACTGAATGCTTACGCCTGGTTCACGTTAGCGACATAACGACATCGTCACGAACGACATAAAAAGGACGTTATGTAGACGTAAAAAGGACGTTATGTTTGTAGTGTGAACATGTAGACATAATGACATATTAGCAACATAACGGTATGAACATAACAACATAAAGATAAAACTGATCTTTTCTTTTCTTTTCTGTCGTTATGTCGATGTCGTTATGTCGTTATGTCTCTAGTGTGAACTAGGCTTTAGGGTGCATGTTAACTGAGGAGAGCTTCGTAAATTGAGCTCCTGGACAATACAGGAAGAAACAGAATGAAGATAATTCCAGTTTTCTCAGGAAATTCTCTTATCTTAGCCGAGTTTCCGCAGGGACGTTACGTTTCCAATTCTTAATTCAGTCAATACTCTGGTACGTGGTGACAGTGTGAACATTCCGGAGGGTGCGATGTGAGTTTGTCGGACATCCTCGCCGAAAGTTGCCGTGATTCTTTGCGCCCTTGATCTTATGCCACTGGGCCGGAAATCCCGGAAGAATCTGGGTACGAGGCGGGTCGCGCGATTTCTTATTTCCGGCGAGATTAAATTCGGTAATTTATTCAAATTCACTTTGCAAATACAAATATTAGTACAAAGAAAGGACTAAAAACACCATGCGCGTTTATGTATTGTGAGGACGGAATAAAAGTTGGTTTGGTACATGATACGTAAAAAGCGTTAGATCAGAATTTTTCTGTCCTTTGTAAATATTTGCTTCGGTAAAGTCTCGTTCAATTGTATCTGACAATGACCTGTAAATATATCTCATTTAAAATGCAAAACTGGTACGCTAAAGAGTGATTCATGGAATCATCAACTGTGACAACAAAACTACGTTTATTTTATTTTATTGATTTGAAATCGATATATTTTTTTTTTGCTGTTTTGAAACTGGAACCGAAGCTGCGTCGGCTGTGTGGACCCATACATGTTTGTCGCATATCGAAACTTTCGAACTACGCCAAAAAAAAAAATGAGTAAATAAATAAATAAAAAAAATCATCGAAATGAGAAAAGTTGCCCGAAAAGTTTTTGTTGTATATTCACCATCTTTCGCTGCTACCGGTACCGAGGCAAACTGGAGTACAAGAACAATATAAGTACCTAACTTTAAAAGTATCTCTTTCGATAAGCTCGTGAGCATCAAATACAGGCAGATCTATATTTTTTTTTTTTTCGACAGCAGGCTTCATTGTCAAATAAGTTTCGGTTTTTCGTCTATCGCACAGACGTTTAAAAGGCCCAAAACAGCCATGGAGTATTTTTAAATCTTCTGCTACCTTTACAGTCGAGTACATTACGTCATAACAGTAATTTCTTACCTCTTTTTCGTCCTGCCCGGCAAAAATGTCTGTTCTATTTCTTCGCCATGTGCCGCCTTCATATCGGCTTTGTTTTGATTTTCTTTGTTTCTGGTGTCTTCAAACGCGCGGCACTGAGTACGAATCACTTGAGATGTCTATCGACCAGCGGTTAACTGGTAAAAGGCAAATTTTCAAACATGGCGGCCGTGGCAAGGCTGTCGGTGAATGGTTGTGCTGAAATAGAAAGTTTGTTAACGTTCTGTAAGATACCGACGGAAAGAATATGCGTAGAAGAA